TTTGTGGTTTTTTTTCTTCAGCAAGTGAGTGCAAACACATAAGGAATTTTTGGTGCAGAGGCTGAAGCTCGTACTCTCCATGGCCAGATGAAAACCCTAACAGCTTGGCTATAGAGTAATATCACTCTTGGCTATAGGGTAATATCAAGGCCTTATAAGTCCTTGTCCATACACTGATTTAGCTTCAGTGTGAAGAGTCTCCCTTCCCTATCTCCCCAGTTCCTTATGAGTGAACTCTCCTGAGGGCTGAAAATGTGTGAACAAATTGCCGCAGACATGCGGAGAAGTCTCAAGTCCACCTTCAGTGGCCACATTTGGGAACAGAAGTGGTAGCAGCCACAGAGTTAAAGAAGGAGGAAGGAGGTAGAGAAGTTAGAGAAGGGGGTTTATTGGGAGAAGGTTGAAGAGAAGCCAAGGAATGCATCATTTTGGCTCTTTTTGCTTAGGTGCAAGATAAACTAATCCTTTTAGTGTCTTTCAGGGTGCTTTGTGGCATGGCCAAAAGCAGAACTGTTGGGTGCCCAGCAGCATGAGGGTCAGAAATGGAGACACATGTACACACAGAGTATTTACTGTTCAAAACAGAAGCTGGGCAGGAATTTTCTGCAAAATAGTTTTCCATTTAGTCAACTAAGGCTTACCTAAGTCCTACTTAAGTACTTAATTCCCTTTTTGGGAATGGGCCCTTTGCCAGCCGGCTGCTCCTGCTGCTGTGAGAGCGTGCTTTCTCACAGCTCCCACCACCTTCCCCATCCCGGTGTAAGGAGAGGCTGCCTTGCAGGAGCACTGCTTCCAGGGAAGCACCAGCTGGGCAAAGGCACTCAAAAGAGGCTGCACTGCTCTTGTCTCTAATTTCAGGGCTGGGGCTCAACTGGATTGAGTTGTTTGCCCAGAGGCATATTTTACCTCTCTTTATGCTTATTTATATACTGCCTCATATAAATCGCCTGGTTATAATCTGACCTCATGGGGTCATGTGCCAAGACAGTTTCATGTTTCTGTACACAACCAAGGGGTGGCTGCATCTCCTTCTAGCATTTTAGCTGGTGGCAGCTTTTATAACAATATAGAAAATAATGATTCTGAACCCATCTTCTGCTCAGGTTAAGTCCAACAAAGCTCATAGGGAAGGGAGTCCCCTCCCAGGTCAGTGCGGAGCACAAACATACTGTAGTGAGCTGTTGTCTAAGTTTGCTGAGACTTCCATTGCCTGCTCAGCATAGTTTGGCTGTATCCTTATTTCCCTTTCTTTCACAGCAGGTAAAGCACAGAACCTTGTTTTTAACCTCCCCAGTACTTACCCATCATTTCACAAGCAGTCAGACACCTACTCTACCACTGAATAATAGCAATAATAATAATAATAATAAAGCTAAAATCATTGCAACTGATTTGCTAATCTGCAATTCATTTGAAATTTGCTGCTTTTGTTTCAGACCTGAAGAAGGGTTAGTGGAACAAAAAGCTTGTCTGGATTCTTTTATTGTTTGTTTGCTTTTTGCTCATTTCTTGGTCTAATAAAAATCTGGTTTCATTTAAAAACAAACAAGCAAACAAAACCAGAAACAGACACTTCCTCTAGATTTTTAATTTGAATTGTCAGCAGGTGGCTGAAAATGAATAGTAGTGTGCCTAGTCAGGGTTATGCAAGAGGCAGGGAGAAAAGTTCGCACTTTGCTGATAGTTCACAAAAGCCAGCTAAAACATCTGCAGTCTGCCTTCCCCAGGGCCACTTCTTCTCACTGTTTCTCAGCAGCCATGGCTGGTACATGAAAGATATTTATCATGCAGCAGTGTGATGTTTCAGATCATTTAGACTGGTTCGTGCTTCTCTTTTCTTTCTTAGACTACAGATACTCTGAGCCTCAAACTCAACATTGGACACCAAGTCCCAACTCCAGCCTTGTCTCACTGAGGAGCAGAGGCATCATCTCCTACCTGTATGTCAAGTGTCCAGTATGAATACATCCAGTGGCTAGCAGCTGCCTTGTTAATTACCGTTTGCAATGCCAATTCATCGCATGATGCATACACTGTAACCCAGTCAAGCTGGGTTTTGTTTTTTAGTTAGTCATTGCACACTGGGGCTCTCACAGCTCAGCGTAGGTGTGGCTGTGAGCTGAGGCTCCCTGCAGGGTGTCAGGCTTCTCCTGTGGCAGGCTTTTTAATGTGCTCTCTCCATATGAAAGTTGCATTTCCTGTAAGTCACAGAACTCCTTTAGCCCATACCATAAGATACTATCCTGGTGGAGGAATGACAGTACCCCAGAAATATCCCACTGTATGTACACATTCCAAAACCCTGCCAAAATAAGCATCTTTGTAATTTTCCATCTCTATGCAGTCACTAAATCTCAAAACTGAAATACCTGTCTGTGAAAAGAATTTGCCATTAAAAAAAAAAAAAAAAAAAGACTGCATCTTTTAAATATGTAAAAGCCCCAATAGTATTGAAAATAATGGAAGGGCTGCAAAAAGGCCAAGAAACTGGCAAGGGGAAAAAAGCATTTTATTTAAAGGTCTTTATATTAGTAACCTTTTCTACATTAAGCACCTTTAGTGCCTAATGTAGACAGAATCAAATCTAACTGGTGAAATAGGGCACCTTAACCCAGCAGGAAGATGGACCCTGTTACAGTAGTAGCTCTTCTCTCTATGACAGTTTCTGGTTCTGTATTACCTATCTAGTGTAGCTGCTTAGTGCTGCTTCATTTATGCAGAGTAACAATAAATGCAGAGTAATTTGCTAAATAAGCCAAATTTATGGCTTTTCTGCATGGCCAGGACATAGCAGTGAGCTTGGCTTTGTGATATTTGCAATTCTACAAAGCTCATTTCCAAGAAAGAAGGATAGGTTTGTCACGGTTTCATCTTAAAACTTGTTACAAGGTGATTTTCTCAGGAAGTTATTTGGTTATGAAGAATTGCCCTACCTGTGTGAACAAGTTCATACTGTGCAAAATGTTTTCAAAGAGGGAGTCTTCTTTCTTGCTGGCAAAATGCAGCCTGTGTCTTCTCTCCCCCCAAACCTAATGACTTCTAAATGTGATGTCTTTATCTCTTAAGCAAAACACAGAGGATGCTACTGGCACAGCAGAGACACATACAGATTTTTTATTTATTTTTTTAATAATGAATTAATTTACTGTGAGTGACAGAGTGAGTATGGCCAGTATTCTCTTTAATGGCAACAGCCCTTAAAATGTTCGTTCTTACTCCATTTTCTCTGCACTACAAAGATTTCAAATTGCACCAAGCACCTATTTCCCTTGATTGTCCAGGTCTGATAAACACAGGGCAAGTTCTACTTGATATCAAGCAAACATTTTGTAGCTACTTGACAGAAACAAAATGTTTAAACTTTTAAATGCTGAAAAGAAAAATCAATAGTGACCAATAAAATCAGAACATGATATTTCACAGGCAAACATATATATATCATAAGTCCATTTTTACTACTAAAAATGTCACTTTATGGTATGTATATTTTCATAAATGAGGTGTTGCTTATTCTGTAAAGGTCAAGCAGTTGTAAATATCAAATATCAATGTGGGAAATTCTGGTGTATCTAGTCAGTTGTGAATGCATCTTCATTTACATATGTTTTCCTTTGTTCCATTGTTACCCTTAAAAAAGTCTCTAGATCATGACACAAGAGGATTTTCTCAAACAGCAAGTCTTGGACACATCCACAGTGATCAGTAACCACAATCTGTGGCTGTGGTCTCAGAGTAAAGTTCTTGCCCAGCCAAGTCTCCCCTTGAGCTTTGACAAAGCACTGCCAAAATGGTCACAACACAATCCCCAGGAAGCTGCTGGTGTCATCCTGGGGCTCATACCCCCTGTCCCTATCCTCATCTCCATCCCTAGCCCCATTCCAGGTCCAGCTCTGCTGCGGACACTCATCGAACACTGTCTTCTCACCAACCTTGCAGCGGGTGCCCACAGCTCCCAGGGGGATAGAAACGGTCACAAGAGGTGTTGTAAACCATTACAATGCTGCACTGGTGTATAAACCAGGGTATTCTACCTGCCTTTCTTAAGCAGTCAGGGACAAATTAAAAGCACCAGGGATGCTTTTATAGTGGTGTAGGTAGGGTTGCTTTATTCTCAGTACTGCCCAACAGTTTTATTTCAGGGCAATTTTCTTTTTCTTTTTTTTTTCTTGACCAGTCCATGGATGTGGTTAATTTAAGGTTTAAAAGGCTTTTTCTCACACATACACACACACCCATATATGTTTTCCACTGAAGTCTGTGCTTTTTCCTAGACCCACCCAAATTCCAGTACATAGCTCCCTTATGTGCCAAGCTTTCATACTCTCCATGCAATGAATGGAAAAATGCCCTTTTTTCCACTTCTGCACATTTCTGGGGGGAGGAGAGGGGGAGTGTGTAGAGGAGAGGGAGGAAAGACATCCAGAGGAATTTAGTTATACCTGTTATTTCAGAGCAGAAATGGGAGAGAGTCTATGGGAACAGAGCTGTCTATGGCAATACTCTGTTTCTGTCCATGGGTGGAGATACATGGGGTCCAAGCCCCATTGCTTGCTTGGGACTCTGAGCTGTGTTTATGGACTGCTAAGGAGATTTAAAAATTAATAATTATAAACTAAAAGTAGCATAAGCTGCTGGCTGTTATGTGTTTCCATTCTGTCTATATGAAGTACTTTATAACTGCTCTTGAATGCATTGATATTTTATGAGAGGGATAAAAAAAAAAAAATCAAAGCTTAATGGTGAGAAACATTGGGGAGTTTTAAATGGAAACGATGGCTTTCAGCTGTGTCATTTTATGCTCCCTTTAATAAGTTATTTCAGGCTATAAGCATCTTGGTGAAAGGTGGTGGACTGAGAGCAAAGGGCTCCTCTCTTGCCACCCGCATCAGCCTGGCAGAAGGAAGGCTGAAGGACCACCACATTTCCATCCCTTTTCACATCCTCCCTCCTACAAGGGCTGCCACTATAGCTCATGGGGTGGCAGGAGGGGGAAGAAAGCCCTGTTCCCTCCTGCTATTGCATCTCCAGGTTGAATCTCAGGGCTGTAACAACATATAAGCTTTGTGAAAAGCCTTTTCCATTGCACTTGCCTCTATGGGGATTCTCCGATGTCTGGTTAAGGCTGGTCCCCCTTGATTTCCTCTTTTCAGTGAAGGCATTAATAAAGTCTTTCTGACTTACAGAGCCACCTGGTTTCATGAGGCTTGTTGGAACGTAATTTCTGAAGCCTCTGTTCACCTGCCAAGTTAAGCTGAAATTAGCCCATGGATTTAAATGTGTGGGCTGTTTTGTATCCATTCTTTGTGAGGGGATGGAAATGAAAATATGCTAGGTTAATTATTTATCCTTTTCATCAGCAAAATATTATTGTTGCACACAAACTTATACTGCAAAAATTGGAATAAAAAAATACTATTTTTAAGAAAAAGCTGTTTCCTGAGTTCTTGACTGGAAGGTTACACAGCCCAGGATTATATGTCTTCCAGATAAACTCCCAAGGAATCAGAGGGAAAAGAATATTTGTTTTCCTCATGGCTTTCCCAAATTACTCAATCCCTGCCAATTTCCATGACACAGACCCCTCAGTCTGCTGCAAAGGCTGTGGCTTCTGAAAGGGAGGAAATAGCATGAATGTACTGGTGCACATCAATGTTTTTTGATTCTCTTGCCAAACCAAAAATATCAAAACAAACAAAACAAAAAAAAAGCTTCAAATTTTCTGGCGACATTAGGAAAAAGTAATCACTCTGGACTGACGATGCTGTTTGTTCAAACCAAAACTAAACCTTTCATTTTGCTTTGAGGTTTGCATAGACGTGTGTGTGTGTCTAAGTTAAATCAAGTGAGGGACACAACAGTGCCTGCAGTGACAGATCACAGCATCATGCTTCCAGAAAGTCTAAATAATATTTTTTACTTTTCAAAATTGTTTTCAGACTTCTCAGTCAAAGCTGCTCTGTCTTGTTCATTTTAATACATTTCATTTTCATCTGACCTAAACCTGCATGTTCGACCCATAAGACTTTTGGCCGACAAATCTCAGCCTTCTGTAACTGTAAAGACCACACAAGTTTCCTGGCTGGTCTGGTGACAAGTGAAGCTTGTGCAAAGAGCTACTGTTCCTCTAAGAGAATACAGCAGATGCAGTGCCTGTCCCCATTGGTGGACTCTGGGGACATAACTGTGTGATTTTCATCACTAGTCATTTTTCTTTTTGTCCTATAGTTTCTTGGGAGCCTCTGTAAAAGCTTTGTGGTTTTATGCTGCAACAGGCTGTAAAAAAAAAAGCAGAGAGAATGTGCCCAAACAAGAAAAAAAAGCTCATGCTGTTTTTCAAAGTTACTACGTTTCCTTATACTCAAAGGAGGTTATTTTGCTTGTTTATTTACACATCCCTTATCTTTATGACTGTTCCTTCATGATTCCATGTCATCTCAAAAGCTCCACAATCTTTTACAGTTGGGAACTTGGGAAGGTCTAGCTTTGATCACTGAAGGTAATTAGACTGAATAGAACATTGTTCATGTTCTGCTGAGAATAGTTTCCAACTACGTTCAGAGTACCGCAAACTTATTTTTAATATTCTACAATATTCAGCAACTTCTACCTTGTTTTTTGTGAGTTTTACAGATGCTGTGAATTTCAGAAGTTGCTTTGATGTTTTCCAAGCAGCCTGATTTATGAGAACAAAAAAATACCACCATTCCCCAATTACTTTCTGTCGCCTTGTTCTAACGCTTGATACATCAATGGAAATATAGTCTGCCTGAGAAGTCCAGGCACAAAAAGTAACTGGGGTATGAAGAAATCAACTACATATCCCACAAAAGATCATTCTTCCAGTGGAAAAATCAACCTTTTTGATCTCTAACCCTCTGTACTTTTCCTGTAATATTTAATTTAATAAAGCCACCATTTTCATTGAAAAACACACATGATGGGAAATGTGAAACTAGACCTAGTGGATGCTTAAATGTTATTTTAGTGCTGGTTATATGCTATTTTAGTGCTATTGAACAGAATTCATATTTTGTAGACAACTGCTAAAGAGAAGTGGTTGCAAAAAGTAGCTAAGCAGGACTATGAATATATCAAATTGTTGCAACAAATTTCAAACTGGGGTTAAGATAATGCCATTGCTGAAAGTCCCAGAGACTGTGACTCCACCAGCAGTCAGATGACAGCTTAATGGCAATGCAGAAAAATTCTTCATTCACTGCTCTGGTGACATGCTGTCAAACCCTGTCTTTTGCCAAAAGAAATATCCTTTATGAAGGCATTTCCTCTGCTTCACTTGCTGTATGGTTCAGACTTCTTGTCTGCAGTTGGCTTGATCCCACAATGTTGTCCAAAATTAATCTTTTCTTCATTTTCTTCATTTTATTAATTGTTTCCCAATGTGTCTTTTGTTCACAGTCCTCCTCTTACGTTCCATGGACAAATTACTCAAACTTTTAGGGTTAAAATCTTATTTCCTTTTTTACTATTTTGACCATAATTTTTTTTTTCATTAATGCAAACATGTCTTTCATTACTTCATACCCACAAAGCTCAGAGCCTAACTTTTCCACACCTACTGCCTGGCCTTCATAGCTCTTCTTTCTTTTGCTCTCTGTTCCATCTCATTCCTCTTCCTCATCAATGCTTATTCCCTCTGATTTTTTGCTCCCTTCATGTTTAAGACTTCTCTTATGCCGTTCCAAAATAGCTTCCATTTGACATACATTTAATTCTCCCCTTCACAAGCTTCCTATCAAATATGGAAAATACACCTGTTTTGAGATACATTACAACTTCAACAGACATCTGCTCATTACTATGTTCACCTAGCAAGTTCCTCCTTTATGTTGCATCTTGCCTCACTTGCTGTTATATCTGAAATAATTTAGAACAGATCTAAAATTTTCTTGTTTGTTCATCTGACTGCAAAGTATGTTGAGGACCTACAGCATGGTGAGAAATAATGATTATAAGCTATGTTCAGTATCAGCTTCGATAACAATTGATCTGTTTTCTTGGAGGCACTCCTTTCCCAGCATGGCTTTGCCTACTACACACCTTATATACCTTGAATGATGCTTCTTTATGTAACAGTGAGTTTTGTCTGAAAGAAATTTGGAGATAAGCTTTTCTTAAAATTTGCATGGGAATGCCAAACATCTGGAAACCTCACTGTGAGATAGTAGTTCTGACTTGGCTGCCAAGCATTTACCAAAACTGGGCAATTTCTAAAGGTACATGCACTGCAAGGCCAATTAGATTCTTTAGGTTAAAATTCCTCTCTGTTCAAATTAGTTCTCTAAAAGGTTTCTGTCTAGTCTGAGCTAGTCTTCTAAGGCACCAAGGTCAACGTAGAGAGCTAGACACCTCCACATAGTAAGTCTGCCTCTTCTTCTAATTCCTCATGGTGCCCATCTCCTTACAGTGTCTGATGGACTGAAACCAGATCTTTTAACTTTCAGACAACTGAGATTATCTTATCCTTGCACCTGCATAACAAGACCAGTTCTTCTGAGAGGTACATGCTTATTGCTTGCATGGTAATCACCTGTTCCAGTGTATGTGATGAAGGGACCCCCACTCTTCCTGGAAACATGAGGCTTACACATGTAAATTATCCAGTACATAGGTGTATTCTAAGTTGGAATGTCTTAAATAAATGTGTCAGTCTGACTTGCACTGATTAAGCCTTTCAGGTTAAATCCCATAGAAGATGCTGTGCAGTGTGGAATCCAATGTAAGATTACACAACATGATGCACTCTTTCCATTGTAAGCATAATTTGGTTACTGTAAAAGAATGTAAATTATGCACTGAAGCAGATAAATAAGGTTGTTATAAAAAAATAAGTTATCCAGGAACCTAAAACAAGATACAAGGTATGTCTGCTCTGTTTCTCTGTTTTACATGTTCTTGCCTATGACATTACCTGCCACAGCCCACCTTGCTTGTGTGTGTCATCAACATATACACTGCCACCATGTCTCTTACCAAAGCATGGATGCATTATGCCTGTGCTATGAAAGACTTCCTTATTTGTGATGTTTTTACCTATGCACATCCAAAAAAAAAGATTACATCTGCACCTGCTTGCGAACAACCTGCATCCTACATCTTTGTCACCACCACTTCTTTTGAAGGTTCCCCTTTTCACAGTACAGCTCAAATCTACCTCTGCCTTTCACCATGCCTAACCTGCCAGTCAGTGAGATGGAGCTAATAATAAGTCAAAAAAAGAAAACTAAACCAGAGCCATTCAATGGCATGTGTTGTTTTAAGCTGAGCAAAGCTGAAGATCAAAAGTAGTTTCTATTAATAGCACCTGGGGTTTTAGAAACTCAACAAATTCTGAAACTTTGATCATTGTTTTCTTCTGAGGTCGGGGAATGAGGATCTGGTCCTTCTCCCAGCTTTTTTGCAGATTTCAGTGTTGATGTTTGAGCTCATATAGCATGTATTATTAGAAACATTCTTAAATCAAAGTTTGTAGTGAGAACACAAAGGTCATTGATTTCTGTGACAGTCTTTATGAGACAGCTTGGGTGGTTTCTTAAGATCATAAAAAACAGTCAGAAACAAAAGCTTTCCCTTGATTATGTAATCATTATTTTTAAGATCTAAAGAAGCAATGTACCATTTAAAGGCATGGTGCCCCCCTCTTACATTTGCACTGCTTTTAAACCAGAAATATATCTGCAAAGGCAGAACCCCACACCAAAAGGGCAGTAGAAGATACATCACTGGGATTGCTTTACTGATACAATTACTTGGATTTCTGTGTATAAACACTAAGAAATGGTTTTAAAATAGGGTTTTTTGTTCCTCATCACCTGAGACCTTACAAAGGCAAGGGAAATTTGTTAACAATAAATATTACACTAAATTTTAGACATTTTTTGTTCCAGAAGTATATATTTAAGGTTCAGTACATATTTTATGGGTTTGCTTTTTGTTGGTTTGGTTTTTGGGGTTCTTGGATGTTTTTTAAACTGCAACAATAGAACAGAGTAAGAATGAACTTCCAGAACCAGAAAATCCTCAAGACTTGAGCGGAAGTACCAATAATGTTGTTATCTGTACTGAGGACACGGAATAAGGCTCATAGCCTTAATTGTGTTGGCATAGTTAGCTCAGGCATAGCAAGTTTATGAATTAAAATAACATACATTTTTAGGATTTCTGGCAGTATAGCACCCCTTTAGACAGCTGCGAAACTAACTATGAATTTTCCTTGTTAAAATCTGTTCTCACAGATGAAACTGAATGGACTTCAACTTGGAGTTCCTGGTGTGATGCCACCAGCTGAAGAGCTCCTTCTGGCCTTTACATTTCCCATAGCAGTATGAAAAGGCAACAATGGGAATATGAACCAGACATGAAGCCTTTTGTTTGCCCATTATACATAGATAAAAATTGCAATGTTAGCTTTCCCACACCTGCCTGAGTTGCATTCATTCACTTCTAGTCTTATGGAAGCATTTTACACTGAAGGCCATCTCAGCTTTTGACTTTTTTTTGTGCTGTGACAAGGGCTTTGAGCACCTTTTATGTAGCACATTTCACAACAGGTAATGGACATATTGAAGGCCAGCACACAATAGCTGATGTTCACTGTGTTAATTCATAACTCATAAATGGAATCCCTTGTAACAACTGACTTTCTGCCTAATCTTAGGGTGAGAAATTGTGATCTAAAACCCTTAATGTGGGAACAGAGAGGAGACCAACCAGCATGGACCATAGAGGCCATCTGGTGTACCAGTTAATGAAACTCAATGTGGAAAATAAAATCAAGTGTTGCCTTAAAAGTTTCTTTTTTTCTTCCTAAGCCTTTGCATTGTCGTGGGAATGTTTTGTCATTTGCTTAAGTAAAAGAATCAGAATTTCAAGTGCTCTGTATCACTCTGAACACCTCCTCCCATATGATGATGTACATTTTGTGTGTGAATGAAGCCCAACCTTGCTTAAATACTGTGAAAGTCACAGAAAGCACATCTTTACTCCCTCAGTCCTTTTATTCATTGCTGTAGTGCAGAGTTGTGGTTTGGCTGTTTATTGCAGAGAGAAGCCTGTTGATAGGTTTGGTGTTGAAGTGTTTGAGGAAGGAAACTTTCAGGAAACATTATTTCTGGATAAGGCAGCAGGAAACTAAAGCATGTTTGCTTCGGTGAGAGGATGGAGGGGGTTCAGAAGAGGACAGCTAGCATGGAAGTTTCCAGGGGTAAGGGTAGGCAGCTTTGAGTGGGATCACTGCCGAGCAGAAAACAAGGGGGCACTTATGGGGATCTTTACAGATAAGGTCAGAAAAATTCAGAAACACTTTTCTGGTTGACATTTTCCTTGGAAAATGTTGACTGAAATAATAATTTAAGCAGGAAGAATTTATTAACTGGTTAAAGTGTTGTGAACATTTATTTTATTATATGTTTTTGTCAGGCTTTGTAGTTCTAGTGAGGAAAAGGAGACATTTTGGTCATAATATATTTTTCCTTTTTTTCCTGATCAGCTCATGCTAAGAATAAACCTTTTAAGGCATCTAAGTAGGTGTACTGTTATATATATTTCTTCATCACGGATTACAGTAATTTATTAAACAGATGAATATTTTTATCATATAGCCTCAATGAGAGAATGCTAACTGTAGATAAGAAAACATTCATAATGTAAAGCCAGATAGGTATCCTGCAAGCTATGATCTAACCAAAAGTGAATCACCTTAGTTAAAGCAATAGAGATTAAATTAATCTAATCAGGCCATACTATTGTTCCAGTCAAAACTTTATCACTTTTGATTTACAAAGAGAAGGTGGCTTACTTTGGCTGTCTAAGCATGGACAAATGTAGCTGACAATCTCCATGAGAAAAACAAACCAGAAAGGAGTCAAGTGTGGTTCTAAAAGTACCAAGCTGCAGTTCCCAAGCCTTAGACCTTCCCTCCACCTTTAAAGCTAGCTAAAATGCAGTATGCCCTGAAGGTCAAATTGCAGGGACTAGTTTGAACCAAGTGAAAGAAAGACATTACTTAATCAAGTCCTCTCCTGGGACACAACAGAAAGGCAGCTGGCCCTCATACCTCAGCAGGCAAAGTGCAGGGAGGGAAAGGACTTTGCAAGTAATGAAATGCCTAGATCAAAATTATCAAATGCTCACCACCAGCACTTGCAAAGTGAGCCATATCGCCTCAGCAGGGAGGCCAAGGAGATTCTCAAGAATTGGTGACCAAAAGCTTGCAATGCTTCCCATTATCTCCAAGGATACCCTGCAAATACAGGGAATCTGAACTTCCCTGAGGTACATTCTGGGTCCAATCTGTGTCCCAGCAATTCAGTTTCAACCCTTAACCAAAGGCAGGCCAGGGTTTACAAAGGGTTCTACTGGATGATGAAATTTGCCACCTTTCTCCCCCGCAGGTAAAAATAACTGCAGATGCGTTAACCCAAAATTATGCCTACCGTCTTTATGTCCAGGCATTTATTTTGTCCAGTAAAGGATAATAATACTTAGAACATTCATGTCATTGCTTGTTCCTTTTCCCCCTGACCGTGACCTCTAACTTGCTGTGAACTTCAGAGTGTGCTAGTAATACAAAGAGAATTTCGTATGCTTAGGAAGAGAGAAAGATGCTGTGGTTCTTATTTGCCATTTTTCTTCCTTCCTTCATCACAATTAGTAAGGTATCCACTGTTTTTGGCTGCTTTCCATGTGTATTTCACACCATTCAGGCTAGCTAAGTTATAGAATGAGCAGACATCTCAATTCATGCACAACCAGTACAAGGGAGCTATTTTTTTTAGCTGTATCATTTACTTCAAGAGCATGCACATGCTTAACACCAAGCTATTTACCATATTAATGGCACAAACACACTGAGTGCTAAAATATCCTCAAGGCTTTAGTAACCCATTCAAGTAAGTCCTGAATGTTCTCCCATAGGAAGGGGTTACCGACAGCTCAGCAGGATATCAGCTTTCAGATATTTAACATTTAGTGAATTCATTTGGACTGAAAAGGTTGACTTTAACTGTTTGATACTCCAACCAATATTTCTTTTTCTGATTTTCACAATGCAGCCAATAAGGCAATGACTTTTCCCTCCATCAGAAAGGGAAAAATACCAAGAAAAAAAACCGTCCCATAATCTGCTTTGTTTTTCCTGGAAGCAAAGTGAATCAAAATTTATTTTAAAATGTCCTGGGGTTCTACATGCAAAACAGTTAAGTTTCTGTTTTTCTTGGCCACTCAAAAGAGTACTGCACGGTACTTTACAGCTTTGGTCTCTACCTGTTCCCAAAGAATGCAGCCTGTCCATGTGAACTATGTGTCTTAGGAGAGAGCAACAGCAGAGGAAGAGGGAATGATTTTCCAAACTGCTTGAATGAAATCTGGACAAACAAAAATTTCAGCTCTAATCAGGGTTGCGGGTTGATCGCTTGTTTGTTTCATTGCATGAGGAGCTGGGATAAAAAAGAATTATTTGTTTTCATTTGAAATTCTATAAAAAGTAACAAGACTGAAGCATTGTGTGTATGTTGGAAGACTGAAGCCCAAGTCATCTGCTGCTGTTTTTGTCTCTAGGCCATGCCTCATTTACTGGATGAAATTCTTGGGGAAGTTTTTGGTCTCGTCTACACTCTGCTTTACAAAAGCAATGCCAGTCTGTACTGTACAACCAGCACTATGTTACATTCCAGGCTTGTTTCCCCCCTCCTATAAGCTGATTGTTAGAGAATGCAGAGAGCATGGTGACATTTTACAACCAAGGAAATAAATGAGACATTTCTGTAATAGCAAATTGCCCCCTTTCCTCCCCAATTAAAAAAAAAAAAAAAGCAAAAGCAATCACAGGTAATAATATCACAGGAGAACACAGATAATAAGCTTGGCAAATAGGCACTGATCACAGGCACTATGCTCAGAAAGACCCTAGAAATGTCTCTAAATACAGCATAGCCAAAGGCAAGTGAGGAAACAAGGTTAGTTAAAAAGTAATGTGGATACTCTTGGTTCACAAAGTCAAGCCAGCTTTGTTCCTTTTTTATGATCAGCACGTCATGGAATAAAAAGGAACTTATCTGTAAATCTCCTTACAGCATGATTCCTATGTGAAAATAAAAAAGGAAGGCAAAAATGAGCTACACTGAAGTAGAGGGAAATTTGCATCACAGGTTCAGACTGATTACTGAGGATAAGCCAAACCTGTTGTAAACAAGTAATATGAAGACACATGCAAAAGTTGGAAGAAAATGCATTATGTTCTCCAACTCAGACATGTTTACATTCTTTACACCTACCACAGAAAACTTACATAATATTGTCTTATACAGATAGGTAACAGGGACTGGATAAAGTTTTAGGCAAGTTTTCCCACTATGTCAATGAAAACTGATTTCTGCATTGAAAAAAAAGAACACGAGCTTACTGAAAGATATGCTTTCTGGAAGAAATAGTTTCTGTCTGGCAGACCTTTACAAAGACAGGTTCAGTATCTGCCCCCTTTCCCAACTTAGAAAAATATCAGCCACATACATTATAAACCTCACATTTGCATCATTGGAAAGATCAAACCATGACAACTTTATCACCGTTAAGCTGCCTGTATCTTAAGGTTCACAAGAAGACATAAACACCATTCATTTACAGACAGTTTCTAAATCCTTAAACTACTAAAATAAGAGAAAAATTGAAAAAAAAACCCAACTCATTAGCTATCAGTTCCACACAGTTTTCAAAGCACTGATAAGCATGTATGCATTTTTGGCAAATACCTCTTACCTGTAAAAGAGCAATGTTCAGATTCCTTACTAGATGTTATCGTCATGACAAGTCAAACAATCTTTTTCATAAAAGGTTGAATGTCTTTTCAATAAGTCATGTGTGCATGGTTTAAGAACAAAAAAACAACAAACCAAAACACAACCCTCAGAGAGTCTCCCGTCACTGTCAGTAAAAAACAAGTTGGAATAAGTCTGAGTTGGAATTACCTGAATAAAGAAACTGGAGGAAGGGAGGGAGGGAGGAGAAGGAGGGAGGGGGAAAGAGAGAGAGTAAAAAAAATAGTTTGAGAGGAGACTCAGTGATGTCAGCAGTATGTGTTAAGGAAATCTACAGCTGAGCCCGGCAAACTTTATAGCTACATAGCGCTCAACACCCAGTTACGTGGTAAGCAAATACCTGCTTAAGAGGAAACTGATGTACTTTTAAAGAATGTCAGTTAATCTTTGAAGAAACTTTAGCCAGGCTGATCAAAGTCCTTAAAGGCCTTATTGCCTGAATAAATAAGGTTACATGTGGTTGTATAATGTTAAGAAAAAAAGAAGAATAAAAAGTCAACACTATAGATTACCCTTTTCCTGTTGGCAAAGGAAGGCTGAAATTCATCTGAAATGAGTTCTTGTAATGGTTGTAACACACTGAACTGTAGCAGCCACGGACACAGCTGAAATCCCTGACCACCAAAGCATCCAATCTGTTTAGCCACAAAACTCTTCCTTTGATGACTTATTCTGGGTTTGATTCAGTGCCTTTCTGCTCTTATTTCCTGGATGCAGAAATCACAGATAGTGCTGATGTGAACTAGGAGAAATCTGGTACCTTGAACAAAGCGAGGAAGAGGTATGGATGTTTGTTATCTGGAAAGCCTGTACACTGCCGTTGGTACCACTCGGTATTTGATGGGATTCCCAGAACTCAATGCAAACAGCAGCAGTGACAAGGAAGTCACTGCAACATTAGAAAGGCTAAGGTAATAGCCTTTGGATATAATTATTCTGTGTCCACATTCCCAAGGATACTGCTTCCAGGAATTACATATCTCAGCAAGCTAGTCTAGTACACCTGTAGTTCAGCATCACCTGCAGGGACATGCCATGGGCTAACTGATGCCAGGTGAATTTCATTCTCCTTTACTTGGGAGAAAGAGGAGATCAACACATGGGGAGTGGTTTGCTAACAAAATTCTGCCCAGCTCATATTCATGGAGAGCACACTAGCAAAAGCAAAATCTCTCCTTAGTAGCACTGGTAAACAGACGTTTAAAAGCCATTAACAGACATTAATAATGTTGTGATATGTGACTATAAGAAACTAGAGGCTGGAATTCTGCCATGGAGTGGTCAAGTATGTAGGCATTCAAGCAGAGCCAGTAGGTAACAGCTGTTTTACATTTAAAAGCACAACAGTTAGATGAGATTTATTTTTCTCTTTGTCAGAGACTAAAGAATTTCACACTGCTTGGATTGTTCACCAAATCCATGAACCTGTTGCACTGGTATCTCTTTCTCTATATTTACAATGAAGGAGGTGACAACAGCTCCTATCAGTTTTCATTATATATATATTTTATATATATATATAAAATGATTGTGGATGTCTTTTTCTGCTTTCAGATAAGTTCTTTGTTTGCAGAAACTTCTGCCAGGTCAGGGGATGAAGCACCCATATTAGAAATTCTTTACCACTATCCAGTTCAATTATGTTTCCCTGTAACTGAAATATGCATTATTAAAAATCTTCAAATACACCTTTCTTCTTGCTTCTGTCAAAGTTTGGGAAATAATCATAACTGAGTACGAATATTCTAATGTGCTAGTCCCACACATCCCCTAAATCATCACCTGTGGCAACTTGGTGTCCTTGAACTCAGCTATAGTGTAAGGGGATGTTGGGAGAGTATAGTACAAGGATATGCTCGAAATAATGTGTTTCACACTTTGTGTAAACACACTGCAGTTCAGTTTTTAATTCCTGTGCTGATTTACTCATACCCTGAGGATCTCTATCCCATTCCAGAAGACAGACCATCATAGCTGAGGGTGGAATTTAAGTTGTATAGGCATTTCCCAGCTTTGCCCACCTCACTTGAAGACTTAAATACCTTTCTTTGACCACAGTTTTCCATTCATCCATTTAGCAGAGAGCCCACAGGTAATCAGAGCATATAGCAGGAGCCTCTGTACTCAGCTCTTACTTCTTCTCTACTAAAGTAAAGTATTTAAACACCATTTTCTGGTGGGTGCCCACATGCTCCTGGACTGTTCCCACACTGCTGCTGAGGCAGGCTAAAAGGAGAAACTAATTTATTAGTTTATGCCCTCCAAAAAGCATAAGCTTAAGTGTTTCTTCAGCTTCATCTTAGTACTGAAGCTCATAAATCTGTGTCCTTACAGTGACAACAGGTAAAAGATCAAAAGTCTGGGCTAGATGAGTTGAAATACTTACCTAAACTTCTTCAAATCAGCAAAGCTGAGCAGGAAATCGTATGATGATAAGAGGCTTGCTCAGGTTATTTTCAGTTCTTATGTCGGTTCTGGATAGAGTTGTTAGGAAAAGAGACAATAAAACAAGAATCCCTGGCAGAAAAGCTAATCAGATCTGTACCTCCAGCTTATCCTAGATTCAAAAATCAATTCTTTTACTGTAAAAGTGCTTTGGGCTTCTCATGTGGAATGTGACCCTCAGCTCATTAGGATGTGTGCAGTGGGAATGAGGAAAGCCACAGTGACACTTCAAGCCTTACCTCTTTTTCTCTGTTCCTGTGAACCCCAGATTGATGAGTTAAAAATCAGAAAGAGGTTATAAAGAAATTGGGATTGTTACATAAAACCAGACACAAGACTAAAAATGGACCTTGCACAAAAAATGTTCAAGATGTTCTCAACAGGGGTGTCTCCTGTGAACTGCTATTTTATGCACTAAACACCTAATTTATGCACCTAAATATCTGTGTAAAGGTGAACCTTGTCTACTCATGTCCAGATCCTTGGATGTAGTGAGGAGCACAGCTCTCAGAGAAATCACGCTGGTGCCTAAACACTGTTGCATGCATGTCTGTCAGGACACAGGCTCACTCCATATCACTGGGATATTAGTACAGCCAAACCTTAGAAGCATTTCACAACAAATACAATAAAGATGGGAAGGAAAAGCACAAAAATGTATCTGTTGTAGAATCATAGAATAGTTAGGGTTGGAAAGGACCTTAAGATCATCTAGTTCCAACCCCCTTGCCATGGGCAGGGATACCTCGCTCTAGTCCAAACTGGCCTTGAACACTGCCAGGGATAGAGCATTCACAACCCCCTTGGGCAACATATTCCAGTGCCTCACCACCCTAACAGGAAAGAATTTCCTCCTTATATCCAACCTAAACTTCCCCTGTTTAAGTCTTAACGCATTACCCCTTGTCCTATCACTACAGTCCCTAATGAAGAGTCCATCCCCAGCATCCTTATAAGCCCCCTTCAGGTACTGGAAGGCTGCTATGAGGTCTCTATGCAGCCTTCTCTTCTCCAGGCTGAACAGCCCCAACTTTCTCAGCCAATCTTCATATGGGAGGTGGTCCAGTCCCCTGATCATTCTTGTGGCCCTCCTTTGAAATTGTTCCAACAGTTCCATGGTCTTTTTATGTTGAGGACACCAGAACTGCACACAATACTCCAAGTGAGGTCTCAGGAGAGCAGAAAAAAGGGGCAGGATCACCTCCTTTGACCTGCTGGTCATGCTCCTTTTGATGCAGCCCAGGATACGGTTGGCTTTCTGGGCTGCAAGCCCACACTGAAGCTGGCTCATGTTCATTTTCTCATCGACCAGGACCCCCAAGTCCTTCTCCGCAGGGCTGCTCTGAATCTCTTCTCTGCCCAACCTGTAGCTGTGCCTGGGATTGCTCCGACCCAGGTGTAGGACCTTGCACTTGGCATGGTTAAACTACATGAGGTTGGCATCAGCTCAAGGTCCCTCTGGATGGCATTCCTTCCCTCCAGTGTATCACTTGTAATAGCGCATGTATTTTTAGTGCACCCTCCAAGTCAAAACAGTTTGGTAAAGCGCTCAGTTCTGCTGTTTTGCCATGATTCATGGCGCTCTGCATTCTGCAACCATTTCAGTCCTGCAGCCCAAACACTTCTTTTACTTTTCAGTAGTAAACTGTTAGAGCATATATTTTCTGCATGTACCAGCTGGCTTTCCACCTTAATATACACAATCTATTTTTTTCTGGGTTTAGTGTAGGCTTTAGAAAAATTGCATCAATAATAATAAGGCCTTCAGTTAGTAGAAGTGTTAGTGAAAAGCTAGTAAGAATGTTGCCTATGTTGCCCATGGACTCATTACTTCAAAAAGTGTCTTGATTTGAAAGCGAGTACTATAAAACCAATGCAACAGAAGTATCCACTTCGTGTTAGCAATAACAAAATGTTACAACCAATGCAGAACTAAGCTCAAATACCGATTTGTCAAGCGTTATTTGAATTATACCTAGTCATTCAGAATGAGGCACTTCCAGGATTAAAATTACATTCATTAAAATGGCAAAACCCTCACATAGCTGTGCACATAAAATAATTTTAATTTAAAAGTAAGAAATTAACTAAAAATTATTTTCCTATTCATGAGATTACGAGAAGATTTCTGCAGGTAAAAGTTCACTGACTTTCTTATGTGCAAGTAGAAATGCATACTTTCCAAACCTTAAATAAGAGACGTTATACTTTGCACTTTATTGTAAGTTTTGTCTTAAAATAGTCCTCTTTTTTTATTTTCTCCTGTGCGTTACAATATTCATCTAAACTGGAAATCAAACAGTTCATCTGCTTCTTATTGATGAAGTTCTTGGTGAAAAAATAATTGAAGGGCTAAAATTTGTTACACACATTCTCATGAGATCAGGAAAAACATTGGACCTGAAGGTGTTGTAGGAAATGCCACTCTCCAATCAAGTGAGTGCTAATGGACACATGAACTTTCTCACTCCAAAGAAATCAGAAACCATGCTCTCACTGCATATTCTCTTAAGGCAGTTGATGGACATTTTTCCATCTTCTTTCTTTTTCACCTTTTAGTTGATACTGCAACAGTGGTTGCACCAAGGAATTCACAGCACACTAGCTAACCTGCTGTGGTTTAAAGATGTGGCTTGCATACAAGGTGTCCACCATGTGTTCTTTGCATTATGAGAGGTTGTGGCTGACACTGTCATTCCTAAGGGAGATCTGTGCACACGAAAATCATATAATTGGGACAGGATTTTATCCCACTTGACAAGCCTCACACAGAAGAATCTGGCTGAGAAGGGGCCAGCTCTGTTCTCAATAAAGCAAGCAGTGACCTTTGTGGAAACCCTGTTACCACAGCAGTTAGTGCTTTCAAAGCTTCAACTT